GTCTGTCTGTCTATCTATCTATCTATCTATCTATCTATCTATCTATCTATCTATCTATCTATCTATCTATCTATCTATCTATCTATCTATCTATCTATCTATCTATCTATCTATCTAAAAAGCACAGTAAACCCACATAACATCTTTTCAATATTATTTTTCAATAAATGCAAGGTCTGGGCCAGGATCTTGTGAGTTCCACCCCACTGGCGTCACTCTGTCGGCTTTGAATTTCAGTGGCAAATGGCCACCCGTTTTAAAAGTCAGTGCTAGTTTTTGTCGTCATGCAGGGCTCACAAACTCGGTGTGCAGCCAGGGCAAGAACTACACATTTGCTACTTAACCCTCAATCAATTTTGTACTGTGGGTTATACTGGATAGCCCTGTGAGTATTTGTCAACCTGAACGAAGCTCTAATCCCGGTCTCTGATCTTTCACTCGATCCACTGCACCAGGCTGATGGATAAAACACTGGTCTCTTACGCTCGAATGTCTCGGACTGCAGGTGGCCGGGATGCAGTATCTTCACCAGGTCCTTGGTCCAACCATCAGCCGCGTGTTTGAAGAGAAGCGATACATCGAACTGGACCCCAGCAAAGTGGAAAACAAAGATGTGGGGTAAGAGTATGGTGGGTGGTGGTGGGGGGTTGTTGAGCAGTGCAGTTGTGACCACACGGTGAAGGGGAGAATTTAAAACAACAACAACAACAACAACAACTTGGTGCTATTAGGAAGATCAGAATTAGTTTGGAAAGAGATTCAGGGGCAAGATATGTAAGAGATTGTGCAAGCAACATTTCTGCAGGCTTGGCATGCTTTTGCATAAGATATTCTCTGTCTCGCTGGCTGGATGGCTCAGTGAGTTGGGTCACTGGCTGCGGAGCCAGAGCTTGGGTGTTCAGTTTCCCCCACTGGGAATAGCCTTGGGAGAAGAGCCAGCCCGGGGAGCCTCGGGCAAGCCGCACGCCGGTCCAGAGCTCCCTTGGAAGAAAGGACTGGTAAAAAAGCATCTGGCTGTTTCTTCTTTTAGATAGACTGGGGAGATCACAAAGAAATAATGAAATAAAACCCAGCTTCCCGTGTGTCTGTTATCAGGAAGCGGGGCCCAAAGCTGAGCCCATCTGCTGATATTTCACCAAGGATAAATGTGTTAAGTGGGTGAGCTTTTTATATATCCCTGCCTTGAGCAGGGTGTTGGATTCAAAGGCCTTATAGGTCCTTTTCCAATTTCACGATTCTATGTTTGCTGATTCCAAATCAGGTCTTACTATGCTTGGAGCTGGGAGGAGTAGACCGTGCCCCCTCCCCCGCTGGTCATTTTCTCGCTGAAATTTTCCCTCTTGTCTGTGCAAGAGGGGTTATATAGTTTGTGCTTTTTTGGGGGAGCAGAATTTTGACCCCTCTACCCAAGTTACAGTTCAGATCGACAAGACCGGGCTGGATCTGTTTTATTTACCCCGATTCTTGGGATCTTCAGATTTTTTTTTAAAAATCCCAGATTCAATGGCTACGAAAGCATGCTGTGTGTACTTTAAGCAAGAATTTTGTGCTGTGTTAGAGGTATCGTTTGGGCAAATTAAGAAAAACACAGCAGGGACAGGGGGAAATCCTCTGGCAGCTGAATCTCACACTGGTGCTGAGAATTTCATGCTACGATAGCCAGCGGCACATGCCATTTCTTCCACATTCTTATTGAAAGTGTGGGCTCCAGCTGTGTGTCATAATCGGGAAGTAGGTTGGATGGCCCCAGATCCCTCCTCTGTGGATCGAGGAGAACCAAACCAGAAGTCAAGGTGGAATGATGTTCCTCCATTCATGAGAAAAGAAGACTAAGGGAGATAAGAGAGCATTTTTCAAAGACTTGAAAGGCAGCCCTATAGAGGAGGAGCAGGGTCTGTTCTCCATCCTCCCAGAGTGCATGAGATGCAACAATTCTCCATCCTCCCAGAGTGCAGGAGATGCAACATTGGGCTCAAGGGACAGGAAATCAGGTTTTGGTTGAATGTCAGGAAAAACTCCCTAACTGTTAGAGTAGTACAACAGTGGAACCCATTAGCTCAGGAGGTGCTGAGGGCTCCAACATTGGAGGCATTCAAGAGCAACCACATGGCTGATATCCTTAGATTTGTATTCCTGCCTTGAACAGGGGGTTGGACTTGATGGCCTTCTAGGCCTCTTCCAACTCCATGACTTTATGATTACATGATTTTTTGGTAAATTTTGCTCATGCAGGGATGGTCTTGATGGCCTTGTAGGCCTCTTCCAACTCTATGACTTTATGATTCCATGATTTTTAGGTAAATTTTGCTCATGCAGGGAGGGGGACTTGAGTCACAAGACTTGCTGTCAAGTTGGACTTAAGTTGGACTGGCGACATGACTTTTTAAAAAAGTGAATCAGACTCCGCTCACGACTCGGACCCCATCCACTCCCTCCCTTTTTTGGGGGGTGTGTGTGGAAGCTTGCTTTTAATAGGGACACAGACTTTTAAGGCTTGAGACTTGGGACCAAAGACTCGAACCTGGGACTTGGATTGAAAGACTTGACCGCATCCCTGGAACATGAACTCCCCAGATCTTCCCGTGTTTCCCTCTCTATGATATAATGCAGACTCGGAAGCTCTTGCTGAGGATACGGGATGCAAATCTGGGAAGAAAATGCTGGGACTGACTTCTGGCTTCCTCCCGGGGCAGGTGTTCCAGCCTCCATCGGATCCAGAGCGAAAGCGACGTCATCCAGCAGAGCGCTCAGCTGCTCCGGTCCTATCTAAACGACCTGCTGGCCTCCATCCTCAAATCCGTCAAGGCGTGCCCAGCCATCATCCGCGCAACCTTCCGGCTGCTTTTCAAGAGAGTTGGCGAATCCTTCCCGGAAGAGAAAGATCAGGTTCTGTTCAGGGGTGTCCCTTGAACCCAAGGGGGGTGGGCAAAAGGCACCCCTTTCAGGTGTAGCTGGACTCAGCATCCCAGCCTAATCCCTTTGCTGCCTGGGGCTGATGGGAGTTGTTGGCCACCCCTGATCGACAGGAGAGCCCTCCCTTTCCACCCGGTTTCGACGTTGCCCCTTTTAACGCTCTTCCGTCTCTCCTTGCAGAACGTGAAATTCGTGGCTGTCACCAGTTTCCTCTGCTTACGCTTCTTCTCTCCGGCCATCATGTCCCCCAAACTCTTCCACCTCCGGGAGAAGCACGCTGATGCCCGCACAAGCCGGGCCCTTCTCCTGCTGGCCAAAGTAAGGACCGGACATCCAGGACGTTAGCCCAGAAGGCAACCGGTGGCCACGGAAAAGTGATTCCCCCTTTCCCCAGGGCCGGCGTGAGGGCCCAGAAGAAGACCTTCCTGAAAGCAGGAGGCAATGTGACTCCAACTTGAACAATTCCACAGTGACAGAGAATCCACTCTAGGTTTTAGTCCGAACCCCCACAGGAGCGATCAAACAGGCTGAGCCCATTTTGAGGCTTGGCTTTGGCACTTTAGGTTGCCCCTGTAAAGTTCGGACTAAGAGCTGAAGTGGACTTCACTGCCCCAGTGAAACTGGGGTCAAGAGCCTCCCCTCTTGAAGGGAGAGGAAATGGGGGGGGTGTCCAGCAGTATCTCTAACAGCCAGGGAGTATTTCTTTAGACATGTGTGGTATGGGAACCAGTAGCGCTTTTGGGCTCTGGCTGAGGTTGGGGGTTCGATTCCCCCACTGGGGCCTTCTTGACAGGGGCCGGATGCGATAATCCAGACGGTCCCTTCCAGCTCTGCTGTTCTAAGCTGAGGATTATGTCATGGCTGTATGGCATAGCGGTTACAGTCACCCCCTATAGCTCTGGCACTGAGTAGCCTTGGGTGATTCATTCTCTCTCCCAGCCTGGCCTACCTTTCAAGGCTGTTCTGGCGGGGAGAGGGGTGAAGCGGAGAGCCAGGGGTGTTATGTCTCCTGCTTTCATCTCCTGGCAGGAAAACTGGGTTCAAAAATAAAATAAGTAGAAAATAAATAAATGAAAGGCTTCCACTGCAGGAAAACCCGCTTCCTTTATTCTGTCCCACTGTCCTGACAAATGGCAGGCTCTCCAAATGCTTAGCAAAATCTGCTTTCTCCCTCTTTCTACCTCTGGCTTGTCATCTTGCTAGGATTATATTTGCTTTCTGAGCAGGTGCAACATTGAGGTGGCTCGGTGCTTTCCCGCTAAGCCCCTGACCCACTCAGTCTCCTGAGCTGGCACTGCTGATGCCATTGTGATCAGCCAGCCCCCTTGTCCTCCACCTGGATCTGGCTGGATCGCTCAGGGGTTGAGATCTCCGGCTGCAGAGCCAGAGGTTGGGAGATTCCCCCACACACACACACGGGGGGGAAGAGTCAGCGTTGTGTGGCCTTGGGCCAAAGCAGCACCATCCTGGAGCACCCTGTCCCCTGGAAGAAGGGAAGGGTCAACCACTTCGGGGTCTTCGCCACCTGGAAAAATCTTGGAAAAGGATCCAAAGAAGTCTTGAATTGATTTGATGGCACGTTGTTGATTTTCTCCAACTTTGACGAAGATCTACCCCCCCACACACACACACACATCTTGGGAGTGCTTGGCATGACTTAATTTATGGCACTGCCTTTTAATTTGGCCTTTTCAGGGCAAAGCTCAAGGTATCTGTTTCTTATGCCTACCAACGGTGCTTCATCTTCCTAACAGCCCTGCAAGGGGTGCCAGTTTGAGAGTCAGCAGCAGCCATGACAAGCTTCCCTTAGAGGAGCGTTGGTGCTGAACAGGGGTCGGAGCCTCTTCCGTTCCCAAGCCCCAGCAGGCCACCTGCTCTGCTCACAGCGGCCGTCCTCCGTCCACCCTAACCTCCCTCTCCTTTTTTGGCAATCAGGCGGTCCAGAACGTGGGGAACCTGGATGCTGGCATCAGCCGCGCCAAGGAAACTTGGATGGCTCCTCTGCAGGCCACCATCCAACAGGGCGCCGCTCAGATGAAGCAGTTCATCCTTCAGCTGATCGACATTGAGGAAAAAGAAGGTTTGTATGGGCCCCGATCCCGTTACTGAGGTTGACTCCAGGTAGACCTTTGCCCGGTGATGGCCGGGCCCCTTGAGTTTGCTTTTGCAAAATTCTCTCCTATTTTTTTTAAGTACAATTTTTAATTTTGAAAGACTTTCTTTTGAGATGTTTAAATTCCAGAAGTTTGAGAAAGGTTGAATTCCCATTCTAGAGGTAGGCACCTGGCTAAGGTTGGTGAGCTAATTAAGAGGTTTTGGACCAGCCAGAACTCCCAAATGGGGAGTTCTTTCATTATTGCTTCTCTAATGATTTAAAATACTTATCTTCCCCAAAAGGATCCAAGGCAGTTTACATTATTGAACGAGACAAAGTTAAAAACTAATACTATAAATTATTACAATATTTTAAAAGCATTCAACTGGTATATTAAAACTCATAAGAGCGGTATTAACAGTTCAAGTAAAAGAACAGAATACAATAAGACGGTATCTGTTTCTTATGCCTACCAACGGTGCTTCATCTTCCTAACAGCCCTGCAAGGGGTGCCAGTTTGAGAGTCAGCAGCAGCCATGACAAGCTTCCCTTAGAGGAGCGTTGGTGCTGAACAGGGGTCGGAGCCTCTTCCGTTCCCAAGCCCCAGCAGGCCACCTGCTCTGCTCACAGCGGCCGTCCTCCGTCCACCCTAACCTCCCTCTCCTTTTTTGGCAATCAGGCGGTCCAGAACGTGGGGAACCTGGATGCTGGCATCAGCCGCGCCAAGGAAACTTGGATGGCTCCTCTGCAGGCCACCATCCAACAGGGCGCCGCTCAGATGAAGCAGTTCATCCTTCAGCTGATCGACATTGAGGAAAAAGAAGGTTTGTATGGGCCCCGATCCCGTTACTGAGGTTGACTCCAGGTAGACCTTTGCCCGGTGATGGCCGGGCCCCTTGAGTTTGCTTTTGCAAAATTCTCTCCTATTTTTTTTTAAGTACAATTTTTAATTTTGAAAGACTTTCTTTTGAGATGTTTAAATTCCAGAAGTTTGAGAAAGGTTGAATTCCCATTCTAGAGGTAGGCACCTGGCTAAGGTTGGTGAGCTAATTAAGAGGTTTTGGACCAGCCAGAACTCCCAAATGGGGAGTTCTTTCATTATTGCTTCTCTAATGATTTAAAATACTTATCTTCCCCAAAAGGATCCAAGCCAGTTTACATTATTGAACGAGACGAAGTTAAAAACTAATACTATAAATTATTACAATATTTAAAAAGCATTCAGCAGGTATATTAAAACTCATAAATAAGAGCGGTATTAAAAGTTCAAGTAAAAGAACAGAATACAGTAAGACTGTGGTATTCGTGGGTGTATAAATGTGCATTTCTGGATTTTTTTATTTCAATATTTTCATGCAGTAGATAAATGAGTCCATGGACACTGATGCCATGAATGGGAAGGTCTTACAGTAAAATAATCTATTCTAAAAATCACCTTGGTCAACCAGTCACTAAGCAAATCTTGCCTGAAAAGAAAGGTTTTTCTCTGTTTGTGGAAAGACAGCAAAATTGGGGCCAGCCTGGTCTCCAGTGGCAGAGAGTTCCAGAGTCTGGGAGCAGCCGCAGAAAAGGCCCTCTCCTATGTACCCCTGGCAAAAGAGATTCTGCTGAGACTTTTGAGGTGGGGAAAATTGAGTATTTTTAATTTCAGAAAAGCTATAAGGATGTCAGCAGCCTTATGCAGCCTA